GTCCTTGATTGCTCCTTTTATAGCTCGATCATCTAGGGGACCCACAGGTTTTTTAGCAGGCTTCCTGCTTCTAATGTACTTAAAAAACATTTTATTTCTTTTTGAGTTTTTGGCTAGCTGTTCCTCAAAATCTTTTTTTGCTTTTCTTATTACATGTTTACACTTGATTTGACAGTGTTTCTGTTCCTTTCTATTTATCTCACTAGGATTGGACTTCCACTTCTTAAAAGATACCTTTTTGTCCCTCACTGCTTCTTTTACATGGTGGTTAAGCCACGGTGACTCTTTTTTAGGTCTCTTGCTATGTTTTTTAATTTGGGGTATACATTTAAGTTGGGCCTCTATTATGGTGTCTTTAAAAAGTTTCCATGCAGCTTTCAGGGATTTGGCTCTAGTCACTGTGCCTTTTAATTTCTGTTTAACTAACCTCCTCATTTTTATGTAATTCCCCTTTTTGAAATTAAATGCCAGGGTGCTGGACTGCTGAGGTGTTCTTCCCACCACAGGAATGTTGAATATTATTATATTATGGTCACTATTCCCAAGCGGTCCTGTAACGGTTATTTCGTGGACCTGATCCTGCACTCCACTCAGGACTAAACCATAAAAATGAAGAGGTCCTAACTCGGGGAAAATTCTCCCTTAATACGCCCTGTATTATATTGTTTCATGCTGCCTGCAGGTGGGGCATATTATTGTTTAGACATATTTTCCAGACAAACCATTTCAGGAGCTCAGTTTAGTGTAGTGGCAACAGGCTGTTAGTATATGCAGGAATACTGTTGGCTCCTGACTTTTCATTAGAATGATGTTTTCCTCGATATGGGAGAAGTGCAATCTAGTCACTAGAACACGGGTGTGGAAATCAGGGACTTCTGAGGTCTAACCCCAGCCCTGAATTCTGCATCCGTGGCCAAGTCGCAACCTCTGTGCCTCAGTTTCCACTTCTATAATCAGTGCACAATAGCACGCTCAACACAAAAGGGGCGACATGTTTGAAGGTGTTCCTTGCGGGTAACAATACTGACAGCAATGGGGGTGCAAAGTACTGTAGTTAGCATAAGGAATAGAATGGGGCACGCAGAGCAGCCTTTTCCCCAGTGAAGGCAGAAAGGCAGATTCAAGGGAGACAAGATACAGTGGTGGCTGAATCGAGAACTATTTTTATATTTGTCTTACAGAAGATGAACACAAATCCATATACCCAGCTGGCAGGCATGGTTTAAATATAGCTTAAGAGGAAGAAGGCTTTTGTGTACAGATTCTGCTGTTGAAACCACTAACCATGTGAGCTTGAAAGCACCTCTCCTAAAAAGAGAACTCTTCTTTGCTCCCACAAAACTCAAGCTTTGTACTCTTAACCGGCAGGGTGGTTGTCACTTTGGAATGTTTAGTGAATAGGTGAAAGGTTGTAGTCCGGAGTCTATTATCCCTTTTCATCTGAATCAGCTTTGGAAATGCACGTGCACCTTAAGATGACCTTGGCATGTCCACAACTCACTTAACATGAGAAAAAACACAGAAAAATTGATAAAAGGCAGGGGGGGGAAGGTCAATAAAATGCCATGATACTATAATGAAATAGCAACATTGTATATATCGAAACTAACGTACAGATTAGAGTTGTGAGAGCTGTCACAAAATTGTTCAGCAAGGATGGGGCCATGGCTGTTTCTGGTCATACATAATTATGCAAACTATCTTTCTCTTCCCAGCAGCATGTACCAAGATAGGTGGCATTTAGTTATTAGTTACTTAAACATTTCACTTCCAAAATAATTCATGATCTAGAACAGGGGCTGGAGCACATGACCTATGAGGAGAGGCTGAGGGAGTTGGGTCTGTTTAGTCTGCAAAAGCGAAGAGTGAGGGGGGATTTGATAGCAGCCTTCAACTTCCTGAAGGGAGGTTCCGAAGAGGATGGAGAAAGGCTGTTCTCAGTAGTGACAGATGGCAGAACAAGGAGCAATGGTCTCAAGTTGTGGTGGGAGAGGTCCAGGTTGGATATTAGGAAAAACTTTTCCACTAGGAGAGTGGTGAAGCACTGGAATGTGTTACCTAGGGAAGTAGTGGAGTCTCCATCCCTAGAGGTGTTTAAGTCTCGGCTTGACAAAGGCCTGGCTGGGTTGATTTAGTTGGGATGGTCCTGCCTAGAGCAGGGGGCTGGACTTGATGACCTTCTGAGGTCTCTTCCAACTCTATGGTTCTGTGATTCTATGAACAGGGCTACTTAACACGCGGTCCCCAGGCCATTTGTTTGTGGCCCACGGTGCAGTTTGGGTTTATGTGGGGTTCAACACATGGCCTGCAGGTGGGATCCATTGAACATGGCCTCCACTGGGAACACGCTCTACAATGGCGAGTCAGTATAATGGTCTTCTGTTGATATGCATTTTAGTAATTAAATTCCTGGACTCTCATTAAAAGTGCTGTCATATGGGTGGAAGTCGGGTAGATATTACATTTTATTAATATCAGCAGAACTGACTTAAATGCATGCCCATCAGTGTGAAAAGCTATTTACGTATATTTGCATTTAAGTTGCGGCCCTCAGTATGTGCTGTGAGTATCGTTGTGGCCCCCGGGGCTTCCAAAGTTGAGTAGCCCTGATCTAGAAAAAAATCAACCCTAATGTCCACACTATATGCTACATGAAATTACTTTTCAGTTCTTCAAGTCCTCTCTATGCTAACTGTGGTAGGGTCAAGTTAGAGGGATACAAAAAAAAAAGTAATGGGAGGGAGGTATATTAGCTTCAGACTGAGAAAAATCTCTGTTCCCAGGATAAATGGCAGGGGCTAGTCTAGAATCAGCAGAGTCAATCAGAGCAATTAAGCACCTGGAGCTAGTTGAGTGGTCCTGCAGAGTCAGGTGAGCCTGTGCTAATTAGAACACCTGGGGCCAATTAAAGAACCAGTTGAGACGGGTTTAAAAAGAGCTTCCCTGCAGGGCGTACAAGTAGCTGAGAGGACAGAGAAAAGCGCTGCTGGGTGCAGGAGGAAACAGGCACCGAGTGGGTACTGGGAGGACGAGCCTGAGAGAAGGAAGGTGCTGGGGATGGTGCAGGGAAGTAGCCATAGG